CGCGTGACGCCATCGGCGCGCCGCCGCGGAGGCCCCCGCGTGTCTCCTAGGCGACCGGCGCGGCCCGGCCGCGCGCCATGAGGCGGCCCAACCTCCTGCTCACCGGTACGGACCGAGGCGAGCCGAGCCGGACCGAGCCGGACCGGACCGAGCCGGACCGGACCGGACCGGCCGCGCGGGGCCGTCGCGGCTCGGAGTCCCGGGCTGGCGGGTCGGGAGGCGGCGGGGCCCGGCTCCTGTGGCCGGGACGCTGTGTGGCGGAGGCCTCGGCGCGGTGTCTGACTGCGCTCTCCGTGTCCGCAGGTACTCCCGGCGTGGGGAAAACCACGCTGGGCAAGGAGCTGGCCTCCAGAGCGGGGCTCGTCTACGTTAACGTGGGCGACCTGGCCAAGGAAGGTAGGGCGCGCTCCCCCAATATAATAGTCCATCAAAGCGCTTGAGATATCCGTGTTTCATATGGCTGTGCTTGCAGCGTGTGATATGTAGCAAATGAAAGTGCGGGGGATTTATTCATAGAAACCTTTTTTTCATGAGATGGGTTAATAAGCTAATTAACAAGCTGGTTAATAAATGCTTATTTTGCATTAAATGATAAATTAACAAACTTWTATGAACATTTAAACACAGAGTTCTTTGTGCGATATCTTCTGTTTACATCATCTGAAAACAGCTACAATAAATACTTTTCATATTGATTGGTGTTATTTCACTAACTTGTTAATACTAATTTTGCTGCAGGAGAACTGTATGAAGGCTTTGATGAGGAATATGAATGTCCRATTTTGGATGAGGACAGAGTAAGTCCAGCTGCATTTTGGTCTTTTGCTTTTCTGTGATTACAAGTARATTTTACTTTTTTTTTTTTCTTTCTCTTTCTGTAGGTAATTGATGAGCTGGAAGACAAAATGAATGAAGGTGGAGTTATTATCGATTATCACGGCTGTGATTTTTTCCCAGAAAGGTGGTTTCATATAGTATTTGTACTTCGTACGGAAAATTCAGTTTTGTATGACAGACTTGAAAGCAGGTACGTCAATGGAGTAAATAAGGAATATAAACTGCTATTGAATAACTTTGTTAGAGTTATTTCCGGGGTATAAATCATTGATTCTGTACACAATGTTTTGTGGTTCTCTGTATATACAAGGTAATGACTTTGTGTGTGGTTCTTGTCTTGTAGGGGCTACAAAGGGAAAAAGCTGCAGGACAACATTCAGTGTGAAATTTTTCAGACACTTTACGAGGAAGCCATGTCGTCTTACAGGGAGGAAATTGTGCACCAGTTACCCAGCAACACTCCAGAGGACCTGGAGCGAAATTTGGACCAGATTATGCAATGGATTGAGCAATGGATGAAAGACAACAATTGACATCTGGAAGAAAAGTAACTGCCTTCCTGGAGGGGCTTAATAASTGACATTCGTAATTCTTTTATGGTAAATTGAAATAAATTTCATTGTAGTTTGTTTTGGCTGGGGACTAGAAGAAGTTTCATAATAGCCAATTCCAAGGGTTYGGAGCAGCCTCAGAAATGTTGTGGGAAGGCATGGAGTACAGCTGGCTCCAAAGTGGAAATTAAGCAGCAAATGGAGGGATTGGATGGCATGGCCGCCTTTGAGCTTGGCACTTATGGTTGAAATTAAACTTTTCCCTTTCCCCACTAAGCAAACTGCATGACTGTGATGGCTGCTGACAGCCGTGGTGCCTTTGCGTGCCGAGGCTCAGGTGAGTGYCCCGGAAAGGACGTGGGCAGCTTCTCAGTCATTAGCCTGCAGGTCGCTCTGTTCTGCTCTCTTCTCACGCATGTGGGAGCTCRTGTAGAGTGAGGTCCGTTATATAGTCTAAGGATAGCTCTATATTTCTGAGGCAAGAGCTTTAACCTGGTGGGAATGCTGTTTTTGAATGTTTCATTATAGAAACATCAGCAATATCCGCACTCATACGGAAGAGAAGTTGTTTCCTTTATCTTTTTTTCTCCTCTGTGTTCCCTGTCACCCATATCAAGCATGGGAAGTATTTATCAGTGTAAGCTTGTTAAGGAAGCCGTGGGACCTCATTTTGTAGAGAAGCAGCAACCTCAAATATGTGAAATTTGAGAGGTCGGTGCCCGTCTTCTCCGATGGCCTGTGGAAGGAGACGTGATCCTGCTTCACCGAATGGAGGGACTGGGSAGCTTTACAGGGGATCCCGTGGGAAGTGCTTGCCAATAGGCTTTTGTGTATGTGAAACTGAACGGTAAAACCATTTACCTGAAACTTGTMTTGCGAGGAGGTTACACGTTTAAGAGCTCCCGGCCGGGCTCTGAGCCCCGCGCTGCCGCCAGGCCGCACCCGCCGGGCCGCGCCCGCCGCCGCCCCGGGGCGGAGCCGGCAGCGGCGCGGGGGGGCGGGCGGCTCGGACGGCACCGGCACCGGCACTGAGGTGCGGGCTTGGCGCGAGAGGCCGCCCGTGGGGCCCCCGGTGCGGCGCGGCGGGTCCCGG